GGTGGTATGGGGAGGGGCTAGACTTTGATATTTCTGAGACCAAATTGGCAGTCTTTAATCTTGGATGTGGTGGTGACAGTGGGGGTGGGTGGCAGATATCGAGCCCTGTCACTGAAGCCAGACCCCACTGAGATGACTGACAATTATGCAAATGACAGTGGGTTCCGCCATCCTGTCCCCATTCTCTTTTTCACTGGCTTCTACTCCTCAAACTTGATAGTCACCATATGGTTTTATTCTAAGCATGGATGGAGCTTTCTGAGAGGGAAATCTCATTGCTATTTATTAGCATTAAAAATAATTCATAAAAATAAATCATAAGGGGGGTGCATGGCAGCCCCTTGGCATTTGTATCACATTTGCTCAGCTTAAGTGCTCCCAACACACCGTGACATACGGGTGCAAAAATAGTCCGTGTCTGGCTGGAATTTGGCAGCAGGTTTAATCATTATCATCTGTGAAATAAAAGGCTTTTTGTACCTTAGTTGACTAAAAGAGTACCACATTTCTTTGAGTGGTCCTTTCGTTTTTAAAAATGCTGAAACAAAGACTCTTGGATTGTGAACATATAACTAAAAAAAGAAAAAACATTTTTCCAGTAGTTCTGCAACTTTTTTATTTTTTTTTAATTTTTTTATTTTTTTATTTTTTGGAGTTCTGCACCTTTCTAAGAAACAGCAGGGCCGACCCTGGTAAACTATGAGGCCTAGAAAATACCTGCTTCCAGCTGCCCACACTTCCTGTGCCCTACAGGGCTCGGTCTCAGGCCTGGTTCTCCTGGACTGAAATGACAGCTCAAGAGATGGCTGAGAAATGACGGGTGTTCGGGCTTCGGTGACGGCCGGGCATGAAGCCCCGTACCACCTCCTCTGTGAGTGACGAGGGTGGAGCAGAAGTAGAAGGGGGTGGAGGTGGCATCCTGTCTGGGGCACCGGGAAGGGAGGATTGTCAAAGCAGGATCAGTGCTGGTTTCTCCACCGAAGATAATGGGCTTAGGAACAGTGTATTAAGAGCTTCAGGTGTTGGCCGGGCGTGGTGGCTCACGTCTGTAATCCCAGTAGTTTGGGAGACTAAGGTGGGAGGATCACCTGAGGACGGGGGTTCAAGACCAGACTGACCAACATGGAGAAACCCCGTCTCCACTAAAAATACAAAATTAGCCGGGCATGGTAGTGCATGCCTATAATCTCAGCTACTCGGGAGGCTGAGGCAGGAGAATCGCTGGAACCCAGGAGGCGGAGTTTGCGGTGAGCTGAGATCGCGCCATTGCACTCCAGCCTGGGCAACAAGAGTGCAACTCCATCTCAAAAAAAAAAACAAAAGAGCTTCAGGTGACATGATAAGAGAAACCCAGAAACAGAGCCAGGGCAACAGGTATACTGGTGGCGCAGCACTGCTGAGAGGCTTAGCTTCACCTTAAAGGCAGCACAAAGCTTCCCGAATCCAGTGTGTTATGACAAAATGCACTGAAATTCCCCCAGAAAAACTACAGTGATAAACTCATAAAACAATGTGTGAGTAATCGGCAAACTTGTCTAAAGATAACGTTTTTCGTGATGGTGGGAACTGGTCTATGCCGCAAGTGTAAATTACTATCATCTCCCCAGGGAAAAAACCTTTGACTAAGTAATTTTACTGCTATAAGCCATGTAAGGAAATGTCCAAAAAAAAAGAAAGGTAACACAGAGAGCTATAGGAGCCAGGATGTTCTATACAAAAATTAACAGTTTGAAAAAATGTGACTATAAATGTGAGGTACGTTGGTGAAACAAATTATGGCACTTTCATGTTAAGGAATATTAGCCATTACAGATCGTGTTTCAGAAGACCCTTCAATAACACAGGGATACGCTCATGATTATGCCCTTAAGACCATAGCAAGTTTTGTATGTTAATGTTAATATAAGGTCAACTAAAAATACAAATGTGTGTAAAGAAAAAAATCAATTAGAAATCCACAGCAAAATGTTATAGATGGCTATTTCTGAATACAGGATTGTTGGTGATTTATATTGTCTTTAGGGTTTTTTTTTGGTTTTTTGGTCAAAAACATTTACATAATAAAGCATTACTTTTATACTCAGAAAAACTCATAATTATGCATAATTTAAATTGTATGTAGTCATTAAAATTATAAATTTATAAAAAGCATAAGTAAATAATTTAAATAAAAATATGTTATATAACATGTAATGGATTTTATTTATGTGATAGGTTATTTATTAGAGCAGTATTTAGTATACAAAGTTCACAATTAAATAATTCCTTGGAGTTTTTTTGCAAGACAGTATGACTTAAGAAATTTTTTAACAATGTGTGTGCTTGTCAGCTCTCCACAAAGAGCTGTTATGCTCCGTCCATGGCTTAGAGGCTCAGCGGAGGGGGTGTGGACGTGCTGCTGGGCTATCCTTGCTGCAGACATGGGGCTTGCTTGGCTTTCCACTGAAAGCTGGCCGAGATGTCCCGGGGCACAACTGCTGAGCAATCAGATCCTGCTCAGCAGGGACAAGCCCTCCAGCCTGTAGGAACAGGACGGGAGGAGAGGAATGGGCAACCCCCTGGGCTGGAGAGCCGCTAGTGAAGGATGTACAGTAAGAAAAGGTCAGAATGCTGGAGCCGTGCTGGAGTGGAAGTCTGCTGTTGCACAGACACATTATTTCCCTTCTTGTGGGAAATACGGAGCAGAGGGCATCTGCTGTGCCAGCACAGAGCACAGGGAGCCCCCTTCAGAAATGGTCAGAATAAATCCTTCAGAAAATGGTCAGAATAAATCTAAAAGCCTGTGATGTTTATGATGTGAATGGTACACCCTTAGATGTGATGCCTTTGTGCAGTCTACAACCTGAACAACCATGCTTGATAGCCCTAGGTTTCCAAGAACAAAAAGGAAGAGAAAAAGCAACTTTTTTTCCTTTAAATATAGCTTATTGTGCTAAATGTGAG